AAACGGTTAACAGGCCGCATGACGTGTCATTTCTGGATAGTGTTTGTTTGTGCGTGCACTTTGACATAATTTTTTTTTCAATATTATTTATTCGTCGTTATTGCAACAGAGGTTGTGTAAATGACCCAAACATATTCTGTTATATTTGTTGTAAATTTGATCTAAGTAAGTTTTTTTCTTCTCGATTAAAAAAAATCCTTACGTGATAAAAAAAAGCATATTATTTTCGAAATTTGCGTAGCTGAATTATGGAAAATCTGTTATTAAAACCAAAACAACTTTTATGAAGTTTAAATTCGCAGGCCTGTGTAATCTGTCTTGAACGATATCAAATTTAAGCGTGTAAAGCAATAAATAAACTTGGTGTCAAATATTTCCTGGAAAAGGTAAATTATCTGTTGAGTGTTATTGTATGTTACCTGTTAGCGATGCGCACAACAATTAATTGTTTTCTTGTCTGAAAAATAAACCTACAAACATACGCCTTTTTTAGGAAATGCGTTTTTTCTGTACAGCATTGCTTATCAAATTTTAAGCAGTGGGTTGTACATTTTAGTGTATAACTATTATGATTTTATTATAAAGATTGTTTTCCATTGTCAAGTTAATATATTAGTTAGGACTAACCTAAATCTCGCTGACTTTAGTGAGGCATTATTAGAATTGCGACCGAAAATATCGTTAACAGCGAGGGTATCTAATTGATGAAAAATTCTTTCTAACCTTTATAGGTAAAAATGTAAGAAATATTTATTCAATTTGCCATACTTATTGCCAGATAGATTTTTAGTTTCTCTGGAAGCACATAATGAGTAAGTACTTGTTTTATATTATAATTTGATATAAAATTGAACTGGTTGATGCTGAATTTCCACACAACCAATAGTAGTTTGTATTGTATCACTTAGAATTTTTCTTTTTTTTTTACAGTTTGCAACGTTACGTTTAGTTAGCTGTAAAGGAACTTTCTATCACAGAAACTTACCAGAAAAACACATCTTATTTCTTCTGATAATTTACTCTCGTTGGTAGTTATCGCTGGACTGACTACACTTGTTGTGATATATTTGTCTTCTAACCAGTGAAATCGTAACACAGCACAGATTACTAACATTTTCGAGTTTCTAGAATGCTACATCACACCTGTGAAAGGAAACTGGAGATGACACATCATGCATTCCCGAACAAATCGAGGCGTGTCAGCCAGCTTTCTAGACACGCTACAAGAAGCACAACTAGTGACTAAGCTGGGCAAGTTTATAAATGCAGGGCCTTCCCCTACTGACCCTTTCCACTCTGATCGCTAGAAACGCGTTTTACTTTATTGAATGCCAAGTGAATTGAAGTAATTATAAAAAAAAAACTGAAAACATCCAATGATGATAGGTGACTTAGCCTTGAAGATTTCCTCTGAATATTAAGACAATAAAATAGTTTAAAGAAAATTAGTTTATGAGCTCATCTTAAGAAATAATATTAACGTCTTTCTAAAAACAAACAAGAGAGAGAGAGAGAATTAATGTTGTCATTTGCTATATTGCATACTGCTTACCTCTGCCAGTAGGTGGCCGACCGGTATTTCAGCTTCAAGTTGTCAGTCTATCAGTGGTAAGGTCATCCACTCTCGCTCTCCGTGCTATTGCTGCAGGGCACACAAGGGCGTCGCCAGTCGCTTAGTCTGTCAAAAAAAAAAAAATCCCTGAAACTTCTAGGCCTAACGACTGACTCTCCTTCTATATTTACTTAGTTATTGGTTTGCTTTAAAAATGAAAAAAGCCAGTTTCGAGTTAACACGTCCCAAAGCGTTAATGCAGCTGTATCACATTCCAAGCTCGCTGAAGATTAATAGACACACATTCCTCATCAGTGAACACTACAAAAACAAAATGCTGAAATGGAAAACAACGACTTTGGATCCGAGCTTGTCTTTCAATAGGTTGCTGTGTAAACCGCCGTTCTTAATGGAAGATATAACATGAGTTACAAACTGATAAACACTTGACATACACAAAGATGCCACGTATTTTGGCCATCATTCCATTTAGGGCTGTATAACATCCAAAACTCAGGGTAACCACCAGAAACGCACGTACGATCACGTGCGAGCGATACAGCTGGACTAGTTTCTACCCTCTCTCTGCACAAGCTTGAACTGAATATCTGCCACAGCAAGACTCGCGTATTACCGAAGTCACGCTGAGCCCTGACTGGTCCGTTTAGTAAGCTAGAGAGAGACCAACAAGGTATCCCCCCCCCCCCACATACACATTCTCCCTGTCTATGCAAGTTTTTTTGGCCATTATCACTGAATGGTCTATCTTAGATAGGGCAAGCACCGTGCAGTGACCAAACAACCAACCGTCTTGTAGCATATGTTCAAGTTTATAATTATTAAAACGTGTATATATCCTACATGACTAATAGAAGTTATACCCTTCTAATTTCTTAGGAGTAATTGGTGAATGTCGATTATTTACATACAGGACTATGGATTCAGATTACCCTCAACGACTGGTACTTTCCAATCTTATATATAATAGAACATGGGATGTGATTACGCCGTTATAATTTGATACACATGATTGAAAGATGTTAATCAGTTACAGATAATATTTCCATTAATTAACTCAGTGTATTTTCAGACACACGATTGGTATATATATATCAATAATATATCAAAGAGATTTTGGATACAACTATTATGTATTTTTGTTTAATATCTTTATACTCTTTCATTATAATGCGGGTCAAGGTACGTAATTTATAGAAATATTATTCCAAGACTATTTGTAATAACTTGTTCTGTTTCCTATTTTGAAATCATGTTGTGTGTTTCTTGATAAAGTTATTCATGAAATAGAAACTCTGATATGTAAATTTAAAACTTGGAAATTTCAGTCATAACATAAAAAGCTTCAACTTTGTTTTCTTTCTTACTTTTTTTTTTTACTACTTCGATTTAGTGAAGCACAAGGAAATAGGACAAGCTATCATAATTCCACGCTGCACAGATATGGAAAACTTAATTTTCCCGAGCTCTATCTATTTTCCCTGTAAGGCATATTTCAAAAATCACAGTTTACTGAGATTTTTTTTTACTGTACCTCTCTCTCTCTAACTACTAGATTGTGGTTAATGAACTGCCTCTTACTTTTATTACAGACTTGAAGACGTATAATGCTAAAATTCAGGGTTCGATTCCTGTTGCGGGTATAGCACTCAGAGAACCAGTTGTGCAGTTTTGCACTTAAACAAAGCAAGTAATTATAGCGTTTGCGTTTACTTATCTTACTTCTTAAAAAGGGGCGGCGTGGTTTACTAGTTGACGTACTAGACTTTCTTTAGCAAATGTGGGATATCACTGTTAGTTTTAAGATCATATGAATAAGTTTTATACCGAAAGACACAATGACAATATAAAAATGTAAAAAGAACAGTGGACGAATGAGATGTTTATTTTGAGAAAAAAATTAATATGTAAGATGTTCAATGATATGTATTCTTAAAAGGAAAAACATATTACATTTTATAATATAAAATAAGCACTGGACTACAATAAGAAAATTAACCAAGAGCGATTTTTTTTATGTTTTTGTTTGTTATGCTCTTCTGAAGATATTAATGTTAATGTTCATTTCTCTATTTAAAAGATTATGTGAGTCATAACGTTCTTTTGTGTCCAAAACAAATCCAGATCTAATATATAAAGGTGCATCTACTACAAATCTGGATCTAATACATAAAGGTGCATCTACTACAAATCCAGATCTAATACATAAAGGTGCATCTACTACAAATCCAGATCTAATACATAACGGTGCATTTACTACAAATCCAGATCTAATACATAACGGTGCATCTATTACAAATCCGGATCTAATACATAAAGGTGCATCTACTACAAATCCAGATCTAATACATAAAGGTGCATCTACTACAAATCCAGATCTAATACATAAAGGTGCATCTACTATAAACCTGGATCTAATACATAACGGTGCATCTACTACAAATCCGGATCTAATACATAACGGTGCATGTACTACAAATCCAGATCTAATACATAACGGTGCATCTACTACAAATCCAGATCTAATACATAACGGTGCATCTACTACAAAATGACATATTAGATGTCACTCTCTCCATTTTTCTACATACGAGAAGATTGAAGGATATTTCTTGTTATAAAAATCAAGCTAATTGCAGATATTGTGGTTTTTTTTCCACACTCATCATCATTTTTTCACTGAGGCTCAAAATTAGTTGTGTGTGAAAGTAGTAGTTAACCTGATTTTTATAAAATATCCTAGGCCTATTGGTTTCCAACAGTTCGCTAGCTTTCGGCGTTTAATTAAACTGCAACTTTTAGGATATTTCTTTTTTGCTAATACGACACAGTTATTTGCGAAATTTTCTTCGAAAACTATAGAGCTTAGATAACCATATGCGTTATAGATTTTACAGGTTTTATAGGGAACACAGGTCAGGTCTAGCTTAAATCTCAATGATGGTGTAAAATTAGCAAAGGAAACACTTTTATATATTATGATATCAGAGTCAGAAGTATGTTTAAGTATTAATTATGTTTTGATTAAACTTTTTTAAGAATTTTTGAAAAATATTTATCTCATCTTATTTTTGACCACGCTCTTGACCTTTAATCAATAAATATATTGTGGTCAACAGTTTGCACTTCTCTCTTCAGTTAAGCAAGGTTATTATGCCATAGCTTTCTGCTTACGAACTAAACAATATATTTAGGATTTCTATTTATAAACTAATTCCCACAATCTAAATTATTGAACAGGTAAATATTTATGATTTATTATGTCTTTTTTTCATAAATACCCTCACACAAGAAGCAAGAATAAACACAGATATATTTTTGGTAGGAATTGAACGTATACATTTAGATTTGCTTTGTTCTGGTTTTATTAATTTGACTCTGGTGTTAAGACAGGTGATATAGATTTATCCTAATTTGTTCAAAAGGAAAATGTCGTTCTATGTTTCAGAGTTTATAGCTTTAGTGTTTTTTAAACTATTAATATAATACAATTGTAAAAATTAATGTTTAAACTTAACTATGTTTCAAGCAGTTAGTTGGGCTACTGTGGTTATATGACATATCATGAGGGTTTGAAATATTGAGAAATTTTAAAGTATTTTAAGAAATGAAATTTTAACATCAAATAGAAGTGAATGTTTGGATGAATTCTTAAACCTGCTCGATACAAAAAATTATGAATAACACTTTGAAAAACAAATGGACTTTTATAACAATAAACAACTGAATTTTCCAAACAATAAAGCATTTTGTAACATAATGAATAAAGTAATATGCTGTTTTTTTTCGATGTGCTAAATTCGAGAAACAAAAAACCTGTTAAATTACTTAGAATAATAATAAAAATATATATAAATTTCAGACTGTACTCCAATATTCACCAAAATGGCACCCTGCTGCCCTCTGGCGAGAGTTGAAATATTTTCTCCAACTTGTAAAAGCAATGAATAACCGTAAAACGTTTGTTATCGTTTTTCTTTTCTTTTCTTCTTTTTATTGTGCTGTTAAGACAGGTGATATATTTTTTATTTTTATTAGTTCAATAGGAGAATTTCGTGCCAAGTTTCAGTTCGGTTTGTGCAATTTTAGTGTCTTTTAAACTATTAATGTAATACTTGTAAGCGTAAAAATTAATAAATAATGTTTAACATTAAATACGTTTCAAGTAGTTAGTTGGGCTACTCACTATCAAAATCAACATTTGTACACTTTATGTAAGTTCATTTGTATCAAAACCTATTAATCGAATAACATCACTATAGCCATTCACTCCTCCAGTACATTACTTGGTTTGACAAAGAAAGATGTTTTAAAGTTATTTCTAGGAGTATAATTATTATATATAAAATGATTTTTTTAAATATTTCTGATGAACCAATCACGTGAAATTCATAG